TTCTCGGTACGGCAGTGATGGATATTTCACGGTTAACGTCCTGACACTGTCGCACGTTCAACCGAAACTAAAACCCTCTTCGTCTCGCTCCAAAGAACGTGCTCTGTAACCTTAATTCCGTTCTTCAACCACCTTCTCGTTAACATCTACCTTCCCTCTTGATTTTCTTCTTTCTTTCTTTTTTTTATCTTTATCATTGAAATCGACCAGGACAGAAAGTTGTTAGAAAATAAAATATTCGAAAAGAAAATTTATCACGATGATTCTTTGAATTATTTTGTTGAAAAAGAAAAGATACTATTATTTTTAAAGTATTGATTTTTAGATTAGAATAATATTTCGTAATTTTCTTAAAAAATTAGAAAGAAGAAAAAGTTGTTTGTAACTTTGCAAATCATTATATACAATATGATCATTAATATTATATTTAAATAATTTTTCTATTAAATTTAAATTATTAATTTATAATTTAAAATCAATTTCTGCCCGTATTATGACACTTTTTTCAAATAGATTGCAAGTTTTCGCAATTTGTTTTCTGCAACAATCAGATGCAAATCACAAAATATCATTAAACGCATTGAAACTCATTCATTCCTATGATCACTCGTTTGAAAATTGTCGCGTGTCGTCGATTATCCCTTCCCCGTTGAAAAAGGAAAACATGATTATCACGGGTAAAGAAAACGTTGTTCCAGGAAATTATACCGCGAGGGCAGTTTCCAATGTCGCTAGTATATGTAGCTAGGTCGTAGATAAGCTAGAATTATGATGGTCTCCGTTTAAGACAATTAAGGTAGAACCGGTTAACAACACGTGTTACAACCAAAGCCCTTCCCGTATCTCTACTTCGGACTCATAACCCGGCGTCATGTCTTCTAACTAAGTTCGCTTAAGCTACCCTTAAAACTGGCTCAATTATTGTCCATTGGTCCTTTTAGTGGCAAGCGTAACGCGTGGACATTACTAATTCCGTCGAGTTAATTTCACGTAGTGAAAATTTTGTCCTCGAGCGATAGGGAAACGTATACCTGTAGAGTTGACAATAATTATTCGTTCGCGATACAGTAGAGATGGAGAGATACAGCGACTATGCCGGTTCGACGATGTCATTTGTTACCGGTATATCAGATCTATCGCGCATGCGCGTCGCGTACGCATGCGCAGAACGGGCCACCGTCCGAAAATTGCTAAATTTTCCTAGCTGTTTTTAAAAATTATTAACTATAGTTTTGAATTACAAATACGAAATTTAAATATTTCTGAAAATCATCAACGTTTTATGAAATTTAATTTGTCATACTTCAATTTAATAGTTTTGAAATAATGAATGGTGTAATACGACTAATTTTTAGGTTAAGAAATTTATTTCAACGCGTTGTCAAACTTCTTTTAAGGGGCGATGTTCCTCACGAATATCAGCGACTTTTTCGTTTCTGATCCAAAAAGAATAACGTGAAAGATAGAAGTCGGAGCCAGTTTTACCAAGAAGAGAGTCAAAGGCCACGTTTAGATGAAAAACTGGTTTATAATTTTGATCACGTCTCGCTACAGACAAAAAAAAAAAAAAGAAAAAAAGAAAGAAGAAAAAAAAGATATTTAAGAAATTTACTTGGAACTAGACAGAACTATCGGTATATCTCGAAGCGATAGATGTGGTACATTGATAATAACGGAATAAATCGGATTTTATAGTTCAACAAATCCAAGATTCTCTTCTTCTTATTCATTTCTCTTCTCTATTTTGTCAGGCATAATTCATTCATGGCACACGCGTAGTAACGCAATCGTGGGTTTAAATGGGCTTTTATGGACAGTTCCGGTTTTACATGGAACGATTTAATCGCGTTTACCCGCTTTTACCCACCTCAAAGTGCTACTCGTCATTTTCCCTCGTACGGGTCAATTTCTTGGAAATTGATTTCGATCAGATTATTTACTATCTTTTTAAAAAATATTCGTACAACTCAGAATACGTTTACTTTCAGTATCGAGAACGATATTTTCGAGAGGAAAGGATTTTTATAAATTTCATAAAGTTTTTAATTTTCTTTTTTTTTTTATTTTATTTCATTACATAACTGCTTTAGAGTTAAAAGAAGAGTTAAATTCGATGGAGATAGAAGTCGTAATTAATTACTGGAACAATTGAACTGATTTAAAATTTTACGAGGAATGATTTTTATCAAGGAAAAAATAGAATAGCAATTCGAAAAATTTGGTGAATGCACAATCCAACGAACAGTCAAAACAGTGCTACCAGAGTAGCAGGTTAGAGCTGGCAATGATTCGAAAGATTTATCCTAGAGCTTTTTGTGATCGGAATTCGTCGTGTCACATAGGATGACAATCGTTTTACGGCGCATTCCGTGGCATGAAGACTGCTTCCTCGCGATACCGTGTTATTAATACACGAAACGTGATGTGGTTGTTTCGTGGACAGCCAGTCGTGGAGAGCAGGTGAAAAAAATGCGGCCGTGGCTCCCTCTAATTTATGATCTTCTCTCTTGTCGATGCTCGGCTGGTCCACATACTGTCCGCAACCATTTTTTTTTCTTTTTTGTCTTCGGGACAAAACACGATGTTTCGAATAGAAAATTCGACCAAAGGGACCATTGATCGATTGAACCGATGTAATTAGTAATATTTTACAAGTTAAATGTTCTCATTAGTGTTAATAAATTTTTCTCTGGAAGTAATGTAGATAGATTTATTTTATTTTATTCTTTGACATCTAATGAAAAAATTTATCGATTATTACGGCTAAGTTAGATTAGAAACTACTTATCAATTTAATTTTCTGTAAGTATAACTCTCTCAAAATTGAAACGAAGATGGAACAAGATGGTGGATCACGCGAATTATTTCTTGCAATTATTCCCTTTCACGAAGTTGTAGACGAAGGAAGGAAGAATAAAGGAAGAGAAATCGTCCGATTTAACGTCTTAATTCGCGAAAATGCTCGCGGCGGTCCAATGAGCAAGACGAATTGCTGCCGATTTGCATTTAAGCGCGAGATAAAGCGGCCCCCTCGAGCAAATTAATCCGCCATTTTATTCTCTCGCGTGGTCGTGAGAGATCTTAGATCCACTCGATTATTTGATTAAGTTAGG